GCTCTTCCAGCGGCTTTGCCTGCAGGTTGCAGCGTAAACGTCTTCTCTAGGCACAAGGGCATGTCGTGGTGTCTCTCGTTAGGTAAAACTCGCTGCCCTCATGACCCCTTGCTGTGGGGCTTGTCAGGGTTTTGGGAGCTGCTCTATCCTCAAGGGATGCTCTCCTGCAGCAACCAAGCTGGTGGAAAGGAGCATGCACCTTACCTGAAATAGGGTAAAGTCTGGCAGCTTGCCTTAAACACACCTTCACTGACAATTCTGTTCATTAGTGAAGGATCTTTTTGGGGAAAAATGTTCAATTGTAATTTTAAAAGTTGCTGGTGACCAACACAACGTAAGTTGTTCCAAAGGTTAACTAACTCTGAGCAGAATAAGCTGTAATTATGGTCAAAACTTGTACAGCTTCAAATCCAGATGTTGGATTTACTTATGCTTCTGTTACCTAGACTTCAAAAAAAAAAAAAAAAAAATTGTCCATATAGGCTGTAATAAGGTTGCTCCTCAGTTTTCTTTGACACGTCTAAATGGACCTGGAGTCCTTCCTTATAGAGAAAGCTCTCTTGTCCTTGAAACGGACCTTGGCAGTTGTCCCAGTTTTTCCAGGTCTGTCTTCAAGTATATTCCCTAGCATTTTAGTTGTAGTTCATCAGTGTGTGCGGCAATTTTCCAAATAATGGATTTTCTGCTCAGTAGAAATTGAAAAATTGGGAGGAAAATTGTTTTGGATTAACTGAAATGCTTAATTTGATCCAAAACACAATGTTTTATTTCATTTTCCTACTAGCTAATGCTTTTAGCCGTAGTTCTGTTTTGAAACAAAAGTGTTAGCTCAGAAGAAAACATTTCCATTTTGAAAATATTAGCACATGACATTTTGACTTGGGTGAATTTTTCTTGTCCTTCCCACTCCAGCTTCAACCTCTTTAAAAACATTTGCCAAATTTGATGAATAATCTTAGCCACCATTAAAGAGCAAAGGGCTGTTCTCTAAACGCTTTTCAACAGAACTTTTCTGATTCTACATGATTTTTTTTTCTGCTTGTCCATCAGAAGATTCACTATTCCTCCATGCAAAGACATTCATTTGCCATCCCGACTTCTCGCTGTGCTTGCAAAACCGATGAGATCCCCGTGTCGTCTCCCTGCAAGCGCGGTAGTGCTCATGCTCCTGTAAATAGGACCCACCTTCGAGTACAGAGAAACAAAATCTTGTGCACCATCCAGCTGCTGAGCAAGAAATAGCAATTTTTTGAAACCTTAATTGATTATAAACAGATATGTAGCATTATTTTATTGAGATTTCTGTTCTGTTTATATTGCTGCTAATTACATAATGCTTTCTTACTGACTGATTACCTTATATTCTCTTGTTGTAGCCCAGAAGGGGTATTGCAATACCTGACTTCTCTCTGACTTGCTGAAAATCAGGCTGATCAGCCTGACTGCGTTCTTGGCTGGATCTTTTGAAAACTCTGAATGCTAGTTGCTCAGATCTGGTGATTTTATGTTTACCCTCTGCAATTGCTCTCAAACAACCTTCTGAGTTACTGCTGACGCAAGAAGGGTTTCACCATCACCTGCGATGTGACTGCACCATTTGCTTTGCCAAATAGAGAATAGGAATATTGACTGAAAAGCTTTTTTTCCTCGTTTTAGTTGAGTTACTGGCAGCTCTATCATTTGTGCTAGAGAAGGAGCAACACCTTTGTTCCTTTGGCTCTTAACAGACTTCTACCGTGCTTTTTGCTTGCTTTGATGCTGCTAAGCATCTGAATTCAGGTTCCTTGTGCTCATCGGACATGCCCGTGACTGTGAAGGAGGGATTTTGCGATCTGTTGCTTTTTGTGCTCAGCCACAGTGAAAATAGGATTTTGTACCTGTCTTTCACCTGTTACCTATATGGCGTTCCAAAAAAAAGTTAATTTTGAGGTATGGCTACTCCAGAATCATTGAAAGGACACTATTCACGTGGGACAATACGGCCTGGACTGACCTGGCCCTGACTCCCCCCAGAGACTGGCATGGCCAGGGGACTTTCTGATGCAAGTGTTTGCAGGCAGTCTGGCATGACCGCCCTCCTAGACCAGCCAGGTCCATTTTGGCCACGCGTTTTTTTCCCTGCTGCCTCCAGCCTTCCTGCACAGCTGACAAAATGCGTCGCGTCAACAAAAAGATCATAGGCAGAACTCGCATGCAGTGTTTTGTAAGGGGTAAGCGAGGTAAGGCTGGGCAGAGGATTTCTCAGCCAAGTGTGTTTCGTCAAGAGAGTAATGTTAAGTACTTAAACAACTCTGTTTCTTAGGAGATGCAGCTCCAAGAACATAGCTACTTCTCTTGAGAAATACCACCGTGCCAAAAGGACATCACGTTGATCCCAAGTAACGTCCTCTGGCCCCTAACTTGGGGACAGTGGATTCACTGGTGGATTCAGGGAAGAATGACTACAGCGGGGCAGTTTGGCTGCCGTGCTTTGAGATGCCCCTAAAAGGGAAACGATCGGAATTTGCACAGCTAGAGAGAAATAGCAAGAGTTCCCATTCCCATAGAAGGTAACCTGACAAAATATGCGAGCTTAAACTGGGCTCTTCTCCAGCGTTCTCCCCTGAAGTATGTTGCCTCTGGGTTGCCCACAGGGACAAACTCCATACCCTTCCCATACCAGTTAATGGAGTGATGTCCCATTAGAGGTGGGAAGAAGACTGTGAGGTTTCAGGATGAAAAAAGGCCTGAGAAACGTTGTCGCTCTGTTCTCCTGTGGACTTCCCGAGTGGGTCCTGTCCCGTGGTCAACCTTGATTTGTTGCTATATAAAATACTTCAGTTGAATTCCCCAAGAACAAGGAAAGCCCCGTTTTATCGAGGTTTGTGTTCCCTGGTGCGAAGATATGCCCTTGCTCGGGGCTTCCCTGGGCTAAGTACAGGCAGTGGGGCTGAGAAACCTGCGCCCACTCAATGCAGCTGTGAAGCTCCCCTTTCCCAAGCACCCCACCATATCCCAATTCTAGTTGCATTTGGCCCTGAAAGAAGGTGGAGTACAAATAACTCAAAGCGTTATATCGTCCTGATACCGAAAACTTCCCCTGCCTCCTGTGTGCGGCTAATTCTGCGTGCTCTGCGCTGTCATTGACCTCGATGGGAGCCTGCAGTGTGTACAAAGGTAAACATAAGCTTTGGGCAATGCTCGGGATTAAAAGAAGACCTGGGGGGGAAAAAAAAAAAAAAAGAAAAGACTAAAAGCAATCTGAAATGGCATGAGGAAAGGCTCGTTTACAAAAATCTGATGTTTAAACTCTGGCAAATGTCACATTGCTGCAACAGCGTCCCATGGGAATATGGATCCAGGACTGATTTGTAAGAATAATATTTGCAGCACCCCAAAATTGAAGTGTAAAATATAGTTGTTGGGATATGGTTGTAAAATATAGTTGTAAAATATAGCTGTTTTCTTCAACTGCAGCTAAATGTGCAAGAAATGGGAGTATATTTTTAGCAAAACCTGGTTTGAGGTAGAAAAAAACCCAGAACCTGGCAACACTTCAGGACTATGTATCATATGTTTTTGAAAGTCTAGAAAATTGTCAAAATAACCTTTAAAATGATCAAGATAAAGCATTAAAGCAACTAAAACTGGAACTTGGAATCTCCAAAACTGAAAAATTTTGTGTGCGTGATATTTGAATTTGACCGTGCAGCTCCAAAATATGTGTGCTGAGCTGGTGCTTTACCAGAGAGTTGTTAACTTTATAGGATAGACAAGAGGAATTCTGTGAGTGTGCTTTCATGAAAATGCCATAAGCCAGTTTGGGATAGTTGAACTCTGATTGAACCAAACTGTTTAAATCTAATCTTAAATAAGATGAAAGCGTTATCTTCTCTATTGCCACGTACGCAGATAAGTTGAAAGGATATGGTGGTATTTTGTGTTTTAAATCTTCTATTCACTGAGTCTATTTTATTGTGCAGTTTCTATTTTGATTTTTGCTTTTGCAACTATTCTTGTGTCCGTAGGGCTGTAGAGGTAGACTTGAGAGTAGAAGTAAGAATGGAAATAAATGGATACCTAAAGGCAGATTGAACCATAACATTTACATTTTTCCCTTATCTGATCTGAGGGTTTTGCAATTGCTGGGTTAGCAACCTTCCCTCTCATTCACGAACTCATGTTTGACAGAGCAACAGGAATGCGGATCCCTTGTTTCTTAACACCACTTAATGGACTTGATTTGGCAAATCACTTATTATGGGATTTGCGATAACCCACCACAACTGCTTTTAACAGGACTTTAGGCACTCAGTATACATGGGTTCTTCAGAAGAAACTAATTTCTTCTTAATCTGTGAGAAGGAACTGTTTTCAGTAATTTTAAGGGGACGAATGAAACTGCTTCAATGCAGAGAGTTTTGGGTCATTGCTACTGTATTTCCAATGATTGAAAGCTTCCTGGTGGCCCTGGGAGGGTGTAACCAATTTGTTTGCATAAGGTGTTCATAAGTTTCCACTCTAAGAGACTTGTAATCCTTATTAAATAAAATGTTATCATAAAGACCACTTTTTAATTCCTCGATGGGCTGGGGATGACGTTTTGAAACAGAGGTCCATTTACATTAAAAATATGCGTACTGCAGTAGACCAAGAAAAATAAGGTTTTGTATAATATTTTTGAGTTTTACAGTGTGTTTTCCTTTATTTTGCATTAAGTGACAGATTACTCCAAAAAGAATATGTGATAGATTCATAAAAATATAATTGTATGAGGTTAGCTGGTTTGTGGCGCAGCTCGAGTTGGAAATCACCCCCGGGGAGGCAGCTGGCACAGAGCCTCCGGCTGCTTGACCCCATCTGGGATTGTTCAATGACATTTAACCTTGGGGCTGCCCACACCTTGGGAGTGATTTCACTCCGAAGCTTTTGAAGGTAAAAGAGGAGAGATCAAAACACATAGGGCATGAGCACCCATCCCTATGGTCTCAGCAGAGACTTTAGAGACCACTTGTCTGTTGTACCGGCTCATCTTTGTATTTACTTGTGGGGTCTCCTGGGTGGGAACTGCCACCTGGAATGAGTTTCTCCCACTCTCAGCGAGATCAGAACTTCGACTTTTTATTGCCAGAAGTGTGAAGCTTTATGTGTGGGATCATGCAATGGACGTGGGGTCCCTCTCCTTCAGGCCACAAGACAGGTAGCGAAGGTGTTGAAGCAAAGAAGAGTGGAGCTTCCCACTCAAACCTTTAAATAACGTTGTCTGCTGGACTGTGTCCTTCTGTTTTATTATGCCCTGAAATACTTTGTAGGGATGACATAGAAGAGCACTTCGAGAAACATAGGTTTAATGCTAGTGAACGTTTTGGGGGTGGGAGAAAGCAGCCGTGATCAAAATGCTCAAGGGAGAGTGCGTGGCAGTGGTGAGGAGAACTGATGAGCAACGTTCAGATTGTGTCGTGGTTTAACCCTGGCTGGCAACTAAGCCCCACGCAGCTGCTCGCTCACTCCCCGCCGGTGGGATGGGGGAGAGAATCGGACGGGTAAAAGTGAGAAAACTCGTGGGTTGAGATAAAGACCATTTAATAGGTAAAGCAAAAGCTGCGCACGCAAGCAAAGCCAAACAAGGAATTCATTCACTGCTTCCCATCGGCAGGCAAGGGTTTCGCCAACTCCCGGAAAGCAGGGCTCCATCATGCCTAACGGGTACTTGGGAAGTAGTGAATGAATTCCTTATTTTGCTTTGCAGTATTGGAGCAGTGATCATCCCAAACAGCGTGCAGACAGCAGTCACCAAAAATTTGCCTATAAACACAGAGAGTAAGCCAGAGAGCGCTCTCAGCAGCTCACCGCTGTTAGTAACAGCTAACTGTTCATGTAGCATTCCCTGGAAGGCTGAAAATGTGTTAAGACTGAGAAAAGGCAGTGCACCAATTATGTGCACCAACACAGTCTCGTGAACTAAGTGCTCCTGTTTAGAGGAGCCTCTGTTTTGGATAATCTCAAATATAACCTTGTGTTCCTCCAGCCTGCCAGGCAATGGGGACAGGGATGATGCTGAGCTCCTGGGCCACCTCTTCCATTGAAGAAGTGGCTGAAGCAGCTCCAGCTGGCCTTCACTGGCTGCAGCTTTATGTGTACAAGGACCGGGAGGTTACCAAATCCCTCGTGAAGCGTGCGGAGAGAGCAGGCTACAAAGGGATCTTTGTGACGGTGGACACGCCATTCCTCGGCAGGCGCATTGACGACGTGCGCAACAAGTTCCAGCTTCCTCCCCACCTCAGGTAGGTGCCCACTGGTGGGACGTGGGACGGGTGCGTGGCAGCGCCACAGTCACCGTGAGGTGCTGTGGGGGAAATTTGTCTCCGGCACAAGGAATTTCTTCCAGGTGCCACATGCAGCACTGGGCGATAACACTGGGGAACTGAGCACATATGTCTCGTTGTGCTTGGGCTACGATCTGCTTCGGGTCAAAACTAAGCTTTGTTGGCTGTTTGCAGACTGTAAAAGAGACTGTGTGCCAGGACTGCAGACTGACAAAGTTAGAGTGATGGGGCATTTCTTTGTACATCTGTCAATATATCCTTGGATGTCTTCAAAACTTGGCTGGACACAGCCCTGTGCAACCTGCTCTGACTTTGAACTTGGATTCAGGTGCAGAGTTGACTGTGCTCTGAATGGGGGCCTGGACCAAGTGGACCAAAGGTCCCTTCTAACCTATGTTATCCTATGACACTGCACTGGGTCCAGGGCCATGTTGCTACTGACCTCGGAGCCCCTTTCCAAGCAGCTTCAACTTTTCTTTTACTCAAATACAGGAACACATGGGGATCAGCCTTTCTAAGTTCTCCATGAGGACAATTTCCACCCCCATGTATGTTTTGTTACACTTTCTATATATCTCGAAAGAATTTCTGGCCTAATTGTTGACTTCAGCACTAATTCTAGTTCCTCTTACTGCAGGGCCTATGTAGTATTTAATTTTAACAGAGTTATCCAGCGGAGCTGTAAGGGCACTGATTTCACTAGCCTTTTGCAAACATAAATTGCTAGACTGTAGAGACCACCCTGATAAACATATGCTGAAGTGCTGGCACAGTCTTAGCAGCCAAGGACTGGCTGGAAGACTATTTAGTGGATGGGATATCCAGGACTTGGGTTTGCAAAATTGAGCTAAAAATCTTGCAAGAATCTTGCAGGTAGGCCTTGGTAGTGGCTACGGCATATACTAAGAGTACTGCATTTGCTCTTATTCAGAGCCTGCAAATGAACACAAAAATAGAGAGAAAACGAAATAAAGGATAGCTGAATGTATTTTGAAGCAGATGAACTTTGATTTAAGTTCTGGGTGAAAGATAGTTTTGAATATTATCAATGGATCTGAAGTGCTCTTCCTATGTCTCTTAAGATTGTTACGTTATACTATGTACATACCATATGTAACATGTACATAGCAAGAAATACAATATCACGTCCTGAGGTCTTTCTTCTTTTTCATAATATTCAAACTGAAGGTAAGCTATGGGACTCTGCAATGAACCTGATTGTTCACCTTGCAGGCAAAAAAACCCTCCAGAGCTTGGGGTGTTGGATCTCCCCCATACGCTTGTACTTGAAACTAATAGATGACATTGATGAAGGTTGACAGAGCAACCTTAACTCTGCCTATGATTTCAGTATTAAAGTAAATCTTATAAGGAAAGCACCAGAAAACAAAAAATCCCCGACAAATCTAACATTAAAATATGCCTCATATAGTAATCCTGCTATAGATTGGTGATTGACAAAACATTATTGACACATTGACATTTTACCTAAAAAAAAAAAAAAAAAAAAAAAAATTATTCTTTAAATAGCTTTTTTTAGGGGCAGTATCATTTTAAGGCCTGGGGTTAGAGTTTTTGAATGTGAGTCAAATAAGCCAAAAATATTTGAGGAAAGTGATAGAGCATTTCTGAAACACTCTGACCCCATCTGACCGAACTGTAACAAGGTTTTGTTTGAGTGAACCGAACGAAATAATATGGAGTAATCTTTAAAGGCTCGAATTAATCACTTCAGATTTCAGAATGACCCTCGGACAGTGTTTTGTTGCAGCTTCGGCGGTGAAACTCTCCTAGCGTGGGGCTCTGCTCGGTTATGTGATAACTTTTTCTTGGCTTCAGGATTTCAACAAAGTTTCAAAGCAACAACAAGGTGCCATTGTGCTCAGAAATGTATGTAAGGCAACATTCATTCAAGTGTTGGTCTGCATTTCACAGGCCAAGAAAAACAACAGTTATTTATATAATCTTATCCATGGTTCTGTTTTTCTCTGGGTACCCCACCCTCCGCAAACCAACAGCTGAAAAGCTGGATCTTGCTGAGAGCCCGCTCCTTTCTCATTTTCTTCTGGGCCTGGAGCTGAACAGAAAAGCCATGTGAAATGCTGCTTGTTGCAGGCATGAAATCAGCGGTGAAACTAGCCAGTTTCCATGCAAAAAACCCCTGTGCATTTCCCAAAACGTGGAATATGAGTATAAAATAGCGCAATGTGGAACGAGACACAGTTTCCGAAGAACTAAGCAATCAGCCTCGTGTGGGACATGGGTTTCCTTGGCGGTACTGGTGTCGCCGACAGTGGTTTAGTGCTTGTGAGCACTCGGGGCTCCTTCAGCTTTCTAATACAAGCACAGCCTGAATTTCTCTATTTGCTTTCCTTTCCCTTTCTCCTGCTTTGTCTAGTAAGTCTGTGAACTCTTTGGTGCAGGGTCTGTCACTTACTATTCAGTTCCTAGAATCTGTGAGATTGATTTGGTGCTAAAGAGCAAACAGTAGCTAATGCTTTCATATGAACTTCATTTTTCCCCCTTACATTTTACAAGGAAGCATACAAAAAAGATGCAAGGTGAACTGGCTGGATGTTGGTCTTGTCAGACAGATGAAAATTCTGAATTCTTTGCAAGGCTTCATGCAGATCCATCTAATTCATGGAGCTTAACAAAATTTCCCTTCCTTCTTCTCCCCTCCCACCTACCTGATCCCCTCTTCCTCCAGTAGCTGAATCCCCTGGATTTGGAAAAAAAACAAACCCAAAGTTGCTGCATGAAAGCTAAGGGGATTTTTGCTGGTACGTAGCAGTGTACCTCTTGACTTCGGTGGGTCCTGGGTTATGTCAAGCAAGATTGATGTTCTCTTCTCACGTCTAGCCTGTACTGCTCTAATGTCTGAATGTCCCACAGCCTCTGATGCATTTATCCTGCTCCTGGCAGATGTTGTTCCTATTTTATGGTGGGGAAACTGAGGCAAAAGGAATGGTTAAGTGTCATGCCCAAAGTCACATGAGAGGACAGATGCTTGAGCCCAAATTAGTTCTCTCACTGCTGGGTTTTACCTCCTGATTGTGGATTTGATGCTGAACCTTTAGATTTTGGACTTTATTCTATTTCTTTTGAAAGCACTAGGGCTGTTGCCTTGGGCCAGAGAAACTTGCACCAATGTAACCAAATGCTTTGCTGGCCAGAGGTTTTGGCTTACTGATGACTATGATCTGACATGCTGGGATAGGCTTTTTTGTTCCTGCCCTGCAGTAGAGTAAAGGTTTAACACAGGTATATTGAATGCTGGCATTAGGGACTGATTCATGGCTACAACGAATCTTTTTCAGACTATTTTTCTACGTCTTTTGTCGTTTTAGATTAAAAAACTTTTCAAGCAGCGACCTGGCGTTCTCCTCAGGGAAAGACTTTGGAGAAAATAGTGGACTGGCTGTGTACGTAGCCGAGGCGATTGATGCAAGCGTCAATTGGGAGGACATCAGATGGCTTCGAGGGTTGACCTCGCTGCCCATCGTCGCGAAAGGAATACTCAGGGGTGTGTAGCTTTGCTGTTTCCTGTGAAGGAGGCGAGGCATCCCTTCTCGCAGAGGCACCAGGGAAGGAAAAGTGCTCGTGCTGGGGAAATTTCTGTAAAATTGCATAGAACTGCATTACTTTTTAATGGCAAGCATCTGCTTTGCTGATATGGAATATGGTGGGATGCACGTTCATATTTCTGTGCTGTGCTAAGTAGGGAAGATTTGCCAAAACAGAGCCAAAAACAACGAAAGGGGAAAAAAAACCTTCTCTTCCTCATGCATGGTTAGGAAGCCAGCAACCAAGACACTTGCAGAAGCAGCTGCTTAAATAAGTTCCTGGAGCTGTCAGATGGGTTGTATGGCTGTGCTGCTAAGTGTGCTTAATTTGATGTTCAATAGGTGGGACCAGAGCCACTGGTCACTAAACTAGTCACTGGAAGGCTTGCATCACATCAATTATACCTGAAATCAGATGCGGCGAGGAAGATTGAACTTGCTCTGTTCATTGCACCTGTAAACTCTAACTCTGAGTTGTACACTACTTAAAGGAAAGCTGGATTTCCATTCTGTCAAAAGAGCACTGAGCACAGTGAAGTGGTTTCATTAAGTATGGATTATTACTGTAATCATGCCGATAATTTTGGCTTGGAGAAAATAATTTAGCAAAATAATTTCTTAGTGATGAGTTGTGGGATGCAGTAGAAAAAATAAAGGCTAGCAACCAAAGTGGCTGCTAATCCAAAGTGGTAAAATGTTCTGCTCATTTCAAATGAATTTTCTGGTCTTACTGCTTAAAGTTAAAACTTTTTTCTGTGTTGAGATGGGCCTTTGGAAGGATGATGTCCTAAGGTGGCTTTGCATTAGCTGGCAATGTCTTTTCAGTGATGCCAAAATTTCCCTCATCATGACGTCAGTAAGCTCCCAGTTACAGAAGGGCATATCTTGTTTGTTTGTTTGTTTTTTCCCAGCTGATGATGCTAAAGAAGCTGTAAAGATTGGGTTAAATGGTATCTTGGTGTCAAATCATGGAGCACGACAGCTTGATGGGGTACCTGCAACTGTAAGTACTGGTGCCAATATGCACCAGTAGTCTCTTGTTTTCTCTTCCTTTTGGCTTCTTATTTGCTTTCTCTGAACACATGGTAGCTGGAGGAAAAACCTGTAAATGTGTTTTATATGCCTTAACCCACGAGCAGTAATATCTTTCCACTTCTCTATGTCACATCATACTCCGAGTTAGACACAGCCTCCCCTTGGTCAGATCAAACAAAAAAACCACAGGAGGGCTTACGTGTGGCTGTTTCTTCAAGCTACCTGGGCACCCTGTCCTTGGCTACAGCACCCTGCATGAAAATCTAGAAGAGCAATTTCAGATAGCGTATATTGTCAGTTCAATGTTTAGAAATTAGAAAGTCTTTAAGAATTTTTTTCTAGTCCTCTCTTTTATTTCTCTTTTCTTATCCTTTTTTGAAAACCCCCTCTTGCTGTTTGCAGTTCACTGAAGGTTGTACTAGAGTTGTTTTTCCCTTTGAATATTCTTCAGAGACATCTCAAAAATTACAGAGTTAGAGAACAGCTAAAGGCAGAATGAAACTCTCCATTTTTCTCCTTTCAGACATTTTCACCTTTGGAAAAGGAACAGGGGGATTAAATTACAGTTTTTTTCCTTTTTCCTTTTCCTTGTCGTGCTACCCTGTGCCTTTTCCAAAGGTGAAAAGGGATTTGAGAAGTTCTCAACTGGCAAAAAAGAAAGAAGTAAAGGAAAATGAAAAAGTATGTGTTCAGGCTGAAGGAAACCCCCCCAAATTCCAGTCATCACTCATCCTTTTTCATTTGGTGTTGGAAAGCTGCGCAAGTAAAAAGAGAATGAAGAGGAGGAGAATCAAAGCCCAGTTGTGACTGTTTCAGTATTCCTAATGTGTCTTTGATGAAAAACCTCCTGTTTTCCGTGATTATTTTCTGAAGGGAGAGGGGAACAGGTAAGCCCTTTTTCACTGTGGAGCGTTTTGCACATCAAGTCTTATCTATTCGGCTCTGCTGTCCCACTGGCATGTCCCCCCCTCCCCTGGAGCACTTCTGCTCTCTGCTTATCTCCTCGGGGGCAGCTGAGGATTTCTCCAGCCGAATTCCTTCACCCTCTCATTTCCTGAGGTCTTCACGTGGACCCATTGGTGTCCTGGTTGTGTTGGCTGGTTCTTCACCAGCCAAGCCCTGCACTGGGGAACCAAATGCCAGCAGAAATTATTTTCTAAACGGTTAATGAAGTTGAGGCATTGTCCTCTGAGCTGAGGCATTATCCTCCGAGATGCTCTTGCCCGACTGTCTCCAGGTACTCCTGGGGACTGGTAGGAAAAAGACCCCCTGATGTCAGGACTTCTTCAGTTTCAAAAGAGAGACTGAGATTTTCCTTTTTTCAAGTGTGATTTTATGCTGTTGGAGAGTTTGCAGCTCTTCGGTTTTAGGCACCTTAAGGGGAACTGAATTTTCAGAGTGTGGATGCCTAATACTTCTGAAATGAATTTTCTTCTTTAACTTCTGTCCTCTTTATCTTCTTGTCACCTTTTGAGAATGTATTCCCCAATTTCAATAAGAGTATTTGAAAATCGCGGGCAAGTCTGTGTGTGAGGTAATACAACAGGAAGAATGTATGAGGATATTAAAAACATCATTTTGAGAAATGAGAAAGTTCAAGAAATATGAATTAATTTTTTGCCAACTGCAGTAGAACAGAAATTAAACTTGCAAATTACTTGTTATGAGTTATTCCTTTGCAACATCACAGTGCAGAGCAGAAGGCACTATTAAGGCTGATGTGTTCACTGGATTTCATCATACAAAGAACTACATTTCAGAACGCAGTTTTCATAGTGTAAATATCTGTATCAGATCGTGCTAAATGTTTCTGTTTTAGAAACATAATAATTTGCTTTAATTTCATGGGTTTTCAGAATGTGAGCTGAACCCAAGCTGGTTAATATTTCTAGTGTCTAGTTACACATTGAGGAAATCTATGTTTTAATTATGGTTTGCATCATACTTTAGTTATTATAGCACTTTAATGTTGGTACAGTTTGTCAGGATGTAGAAAGTGGTCTCTGTATATGGAAATAGATCCAAAATATGTTTGGCAAGAGAGCAAAACCAAAGGGAGGGGAAAAAAATCACAGCAAGTGCCAAACTTCAAGAAAATTTTAATCCAAATCCAAAAACAAACTGCACTTTCAAGTTTTTTTTCCCCCATCTCCTACTCATTTTTTATCCATTAGAAAGGAAATGAATTACATCCGTATTTGAAAGACATGAATTTGTGTGCCTTTTGTCTTACTACCACACACTGTTTCCAGTCTCCTTAGTAATTGGCTTCCAGTTTTGTGTCTTTCCTGATTTTCATGAATAGGAACTGTTTAGGCGTTATAGGAACAGTTGCCCTGTAATTAATGCTTGAGGCTTGAATTCAGGAGGCTCATATCTGCATTGGGACCTCTTGCGTGGTGTGGACATGTTACTTAACTCCCTGATTACTTACTTGTAACCCAGGAACAGTGAAAGTCCTTTTCCCCATTACATTTATCCCTGGTGTAGGGGCTAAGTAGAGCTTGGTGAAAGTAACAAATAAGTGCATTAAAAGAAATAATTTCCCACCTTGCTCAAAACTCAGAGGAAAGCTAATTTTTTCTTATATGAAGAAGTCTCCTCTACAATTATTCCTGTAATCAAGATGTATTTTCAAAAGGAAAAATATATTCATTAAAATTTTTCAGCCAACTCCAAATTCCTCAGAGCACATCTTTTTCTTAGTCCATGTCTATAGTACAATGCCTGCCTCTGGGCTTCTGGATGATAGCTGGCCCTTAGTATAAATGAATAATAAATTTAAACAAGAAAGCGAAGATGATTATTTAAAAAGTGACAGTGATTCAATTTCATCCCCAAACTAGTGACCACTGGAAGTTTGGGGGGTAATATCAAGGAAAGGCCTCCTCTGTGCTTGCTGTTTCTTACATTATTCCGAAGTATCTGGTACTGGCTTGTGTTGGATACATGTCATGGGATCAGATGGACATTTTGTGTGACCCTGCTGATTCTCATTCTATTTATGTGACTCTCCAAATAAATTTGACCTTCGTATGTATCTGCTAACATGCTAAGTCACTACTGTTTTTCAATACAAAGCTGTGGGTTTTGTGCATACAGTTAGGCATGCAATTGCTCATTTAGCTTCTTTAAAGCTTGGTTGATGTACGTACGAGTTCATTCAAAAAATAAATAGGGTTACAGAAGCGGAGAAGCTCTATTCCTGGTTTCACTCTCTTAGATTGATGTCTTGCCTGAAATCGTTGAGGCTGTGGAGGGGAAGGTGGAGGTGTTCCTGGATGGTGGTGTAAGAAAAGGCACAGATGTTCTCAAAGCATTAGCTCTCGGTGCCAAAGCTGTATTCATCGGAAGACCTCTCATCTGGGGCTTGGTTTATCAAGTAAGTTAGAAAAAGCTCAAATTTCTGTTTTTAGATACCTAGACTCGCTGGTTAGGCTTAGTGTATACATGTATGTGTATACGTGTGCACATAGGGGGGTGTGTGTGATGGTGTCTGTGTGTATGCAGACCACCTAATCTAAAATTTGCTATGACAAGTACTCAGGAGTTACGGTTGTGCATAAAACTGTGTTGGCACATGTATACATGTCTGTATCTACACACGAGCTATATGTACACATAATAGTACATATTGTCTCCTAATCTCCTAGGGTGAAGAAGGAGCAAAAGAAGTTCTCCAGATGCTGAAGGAAGAGTTTCGCCTGGCAATGGCACTGACAGGTGAGACATCAACCTCAGCAATAATCGCCTCTGTCTCGCATTTCCTCATAGCTTTCATTTGCCCTGGGCAAGATGCTGTAGTAACCTACAGAAGGGAGATGGAAATGTTTGCAATATAAACAGATTAGAGAGATGGGAAAAGGACTTGTTATCCCTGTCTTATAGATGGGGAACTGAGTAGATTAAGTAAAAACAAGAAAAATGTTTTTCACAAGGAGAGCAATAAATCTGTAGAAAAGTACTAGCAAATCCTTGGTCACTAAGGGGTGGGTTTCATCTGACAGAATGTAGATTTCTGTGGGATAGAAAAAGAAAAGGCTTAGAGTGGGATAGAAAAGCAGGGCTTTCAACTGATATGTAACTTCTCTTCCAGGGTGCCAGAGAGTAGAAGAAATTGGCAGGACATTGATACGAAGACATCAAGTATTATTTTCTAAGATTTAGGTCTGAAGACTATTGCCTCGTGTGTTGCCTGTGGTACAGAAAGTGTGCTACTAGGCAAAAAGCAACTGTGTTTGCTCTTTGGGCCTCCTCCTGCAATCCTGACTGAGAAGGGGTGGTCTGTAGGAGATGACTTGTTGACAAAAGTACTTGAAGCAAATTTTACAGGTGTTTCCATATTCTCCTAGGCTCTTAAGGAAAGCTACTCTACTGGGAGTTGTGATTAGAGATGGGCCTTTATACAAGACCAACACAGAAACTTCGATGTGTTTTGCAACGAATGCTTGTATTAAGTTACATGCCTGGAAGTAACTTAGCTGTTAAAATGAAACTATAAACAGAAATGTTTTGATAGCAAACAGCCATCAAAATGCAGAAATTTAAAAGACACTTCTTGCTCACTGTTTAGAGAAACTACATTGTAGATCATAGAGATTAAATCTTGCTTTCTTATGAACATAGTGTCATTTCCCTAGCGACTATGTGCTATTCCTTTATAAGCACGAGGGCTTGCAGCATGTAGCTCAGAGGACTCTTAGTTGTAAAGAAATGAACAGCAAAGCGAAATTGGGGAAGTTCTGCTGTTTATGTGACACAAACCCCTTTGCAATCAGGCAACCATTATGTATGTGCATCAGGTATAGGTCAGATCCTTGGCTGATGCAAATCCTTGCAGCCCTATTGCCTTCACTAAACTGTGCCGACTGCACCCAGCTGGAGCCCTGGGTTCATTTTTCACCTGGATTCATTTGCTGACAGTGGCAAGTGAAGGCTGGTGCTACCTGGGAGAGTTTGTAGGGTTTGCAGCCATGTGCAAAAGAGAAACTTGAATAATTGAGGTATTAACCCGTGACTTGGGAAGATCCTAGTGGCTCTATTCAGTTTCCATGAACACCCTTCAGACAGATAAATCTTAGTGTTATTCACTCTGCTTATGATGAGGATACAGAGACATACAGGATCTGCTCCTCTATTCTCTGAACAATCCAAATACCCACTGAAAACAGGAGAAATTTTGCAACTGTAAAGAACAAAGGAATAGCTTCATACTGCGAAGTGACCTTGCCCAAAGTGAGCAGGCAGAGGCGGTAAGACTCTACTAATCTCATCTTGGGTAAAACTAAGGCTGGCTCTTCGTCTGTCTCACTTCTGTTGCAAGTATAGCAATGTTACTGGGAGCAGGGAGAGGTTTTGAAAATCTTGTGGAAATTTAGTGTTCATTTTTAAGGAGGATTAAAAAAAAAAGCCTTGATTTCACTGTTCCACTGTCACTGACATCACTGTTCCACCATTTGTTTCCCATCAGTGTCAGGAGGACTCATGCATTCTGACTCTCCCTTTTTGTTCTGTTTGAAATATCCCTCACTGAGCTTTAGAGGCAGCTTTGTAATAAAATGATGGAATATTACAATGTGAACTAAAGCTGGGGCTGGAACTCAAAATGGGGAGAAAACCCAAAAGGCCACATGCTTGCCCTTCAGTTGTAAAATTTGTACTCTTATTTACTGCAGAATGTAGTGTGTTGTGTGAGGGTTGCATAGCAACAAAATAAAGTTTATCTGTGTAAGGAAATATGAATGTTTCTCAGAGCATAGAGAAGCATAATTTCTGCTGTTTACTGCATTTATCATATCTGTTGCAATGTGGACTGTGTCAGATGTCAATTACAGCCTAACTTCAGAAAGACTGTTTATTTTAGATAATATAAATGTTACTTAAAAGATAGGGGCATAATATCTTATGTTTACATGTTTAAGATCTATTTCTAAAGTTTAGAAGATGCAGTTTCCTGTCTTTGCCCCAACCAGATTCAAGGAAAGTTCTGTAACTCTGTGGTCCGGGATAAATTCTGATGGTGAGGAATCCGGTTTCGTTACTTGTGCGTAATTAACTATTTCTAGTTCCTCTGGGATAATGGGTTTATGTTGTTTTTTCCTGCTTGTTATCTGAGAATTGTCTGACTGCCTTCCAGTTCAACCCTAGTAAGAACAGACATGCATTAAAAAGCACAATTAGAGCCAAATACTGAAAGGCTGTGAGATGGCGTTAACAGAAACGAAATTAATTTGCCTGGTAGACTTCTGTTTTTAAAATATTCCACAGTGAAGAAAACTTCCCTTGATTTTGAGACATCCAAACACAACTGCTTCTGCAAGTTATTAAAAAAAGGCAGGAATTCTGTTTGGTTTTGATTTCAGATTAGAAAGCAGAAAGACTCATGAGTGCCCTCAACAATTTTAAAAGCTGAACAATGTCCAGTCTAAGCATAACTCTACCTCACAGTTCCTTCACCTGGGGAAGCCGAGAAGAAAATGTAGCACACACAACAAGTGGTGGTGGTAGATCTTTCTGCAGTTTGTGAGGGTGCTTCTGAGGAGAATATAAGCAATATAACAGAAGAAAATAATAAGTCTTTGTGGGATATGTTAAGTAGAAAAATACAACATTTGCCTCTGAAGTAAAAGTGAACACAACAAACTCCTAGGAACAATAAATCACAGTCCTCAGATCAAGGCATAGAAGTAGGGAGGGAACAGAAGGTGTATTTTGAATTTATGATGCTTTAGTATATCTGCCTATCTGTATCTCAAATAACAAACACAGTGTCTTTAATTGTGAAATTATTCTCTGACTTTACCTTGGCTATATATTAAGCCATAGATACCAAGAAAAAATGTTTACATAGAAAAAGTTGTAATAAGGGAGGAACATTGAGTGATATTTATCTATCCAGAAAGACAGCACTTAACTCGTGTGCTGGGTGCCTAGAAAAAAACAACCCATTTGGGAGGCTGGTGACTGAACAGTAACTGAATGAGGTTCCCTAACCACCTCTGAGGTAGACTGGGAATACTCCCTGGAAAAGGAGATTGCAACTCTTAATGAAAGAAAATTTATTAGATCCTTTATGGAGAAAGAAGAGACCAAAAGCAAAACCTGAGAGTGTGGAAGAGGAGGAGGATCCTGGACTTTTTACAAGAAAGTGGTATCTCCCAAGAGGATAAGATGTGAGGCAGGTTTTTACATACTGGTGTTTTATATTCAGCTTACAATGCTGATTTCTCTGGTCCTGTCAGTTTGGAAGATCGCATTTTTGGAAGCATCCTCACAGAGTTGTCTCCTTGGCCCCTGTGAGCCCATAGAGGATTAAACACACTGAAAAGAATATGGAAGAGAGCAATGCTTTAGATACAATGTGTAGAAACCACTCGGGAGATTTGGAAAGGCTTCAGCCCTGGTTTGGGATCTTAACTGGACTCCAGAGACCCTTTTCTAGCAAGAAGTTCTAGGGAAGACAGTGTCCAAGTGACAAGGTCCGTGAAAGAGCCTGTGACATTGTCTGGACATCTGATAGAGCACATCAAGGCTAGACAGGCAGAGAAGCAGGGTCCTCCTAAGAAAAAACAATATGCTTCTGCAAAAGACCACTTTGAGCTGCAAACACATTGGCGGTCTGGGCCTGGAGGAGAGGTTTGGCTGCACTGGGAACGTATTTGCCATAAGAGCCTGGCAGTTAAATACAGCAGAGGAGAGCACCAAAGCATGGAGGTGCAGGACTGCAGGCACAGAAGTCTGGTGAGCAGAAGATGGCAGAAGTCAGCTGAGGGTTGTGAGACCATCTGACTTTTCAGATAAAAAGTGGAGGAGGAGGTTAGTGTAGCTTGAGGACAGATTTTATTCTCTTGCTTAGCCTGTCAGTTCTTTGAAGAGACCTGCTGCTTTTTGAACAGTAATCCAGTAAGTAAATGATAGGAGTCATAATTCAGTGCACTGAAGCTGAAGAGCTGTGAAAGACATGATCTGTTTTCTTGTGACCTCTATCTCTCGCTGTGACTCTGGGACACGTTATTGTGTTTTATTTTTACTAGTGGCCAAGTCAAACAAATAGCTCTGGAACTGGTAAGAACTCCACCTCCATCCCCAATTTTTCAAGTTAAGCATGAAACTTGTCTGTCTTACTGGGAATTTCTGAACATAAATAAACAGCCACTTAGAGTAACTGGCTTTGATAAATGGGCAGTGTAGGTCGGGGCCTGTTGGATATGCAGGCGACTCAAAGATGAAGCAGAGCTGGGGAAGTAGGCAGGAATGGCTCTGCTTTTCTTGGCTTCTCAAATGGTTTTCAGGCTGAAATCAAACACTTGAGAGCATGAGGAAAGCTGGCTTCTGAAGTCATGATTTTGCACTGAACCTCACTGTAAGGATATCTCTTATAAAGCTACTTTTGATGTGGAAATTTGGCTCCAAACCACACTGAAGGCCATTATAAATAACCACTTCATCACAGGACACACAGAAGTTGGCTTCCTTGAACACTCCTAGAAAGCAAGTCTAACCTTATTGAGCCATAACCTCAGCTAGTGTAAGTCAGAGAAGCTCCACTGACTTCATTAGTTTATACTGATTTACACCAGCTGTGACTGTGGCCCACAATACAGCAAGATATGTCAACTTTTAAATTCTGTCACTGAGTGTTGAACAAAACTGTTTTTAAAACAAGATTGGCAATCCCAAATTTAGATACTAATGAGACACAGCACTGTAATTGTTTCACGATGCCTATATGCTCCATTTTGTTTTAATTTTGCCTTGCTTCTGTTTTTCTTATCTTCTGCCAAACAGAGGGAGAGTACCACATATGTTACATTCATAACAAAGATGTTTTGCTGCTTTGAGAACATGTCTGCCAGATGCAAAATGCCTTTGTGTTGTAGTTCAGCTTCTTCCTTTGCATAGGTACATTGGTTATGTGCCAATACAAGAATGCCCTTGAGGGCCAGGCCCATGTTTCTCCAGGCTCTGGAGCTCTCAAAGGGGCACCCAGAGGCTGTCCCAGCTGAACTTCAAAGATCTGATTCCCCCTTAGGGCTTTCCAGCTTCTGAGTCACCATTTCAGGTGGACAGGATGAATTGTGTCCAGGAGCACTCTGATAGGAATGCCCTGAGACCATCAATACATCTCCTCTGTCACAATCCTGCAGGCTTCTCATGTAGTTAACCAT